CGTTGAAGAATTTGAATCTGAAGGGCACCAGGCAGAAAAAGGTGCCAGAGGCACTCAGGGGTTTGAAAACGTTGGCTTTCCTTGATCTATCACAAAACAGTATTCGAGAACTGCCCGGGTCCGCGGCCACGAAAGCTTTCGAAAGTCTCGAGTCGTTAACTGGTCTGAATCTCGAAAGGAATTTGATACAGAGTATTGGACCGGATGCGTTTCATGGAATCAAAAATACATTGAGCTCTTTGAGCTTGTTGAACAATCTTATTCCGGACTTTCCTACAGCTGCTATCAACAGTGTTCAAGATCTTAGGGTGAGTTTCTAAACAAATCTTTAAAATGTTCCATTGTAAAAATTATTATATTAGGTTAAATTAAATTAAAATGCAGAAAACATAGTAACATTAAATCATGGAAAAGCAATAGCATTCAACAGAGCACGCGAATGTTTCTTCTTTCAATGAAGAGGGGGTAATCACTCTCTCTCTCTCTCTCTCTCTCTCTCTTACGTAAGATTTTACGAACACACATTGGACCGCATAATTTAGAAAAAAATATATTGCAGTCAGGTTGTACAATAATGGCTAATAATTGTTTTTGATTAGGTGCTAGATATTGGATTCAACCTGATAACCGAACTACCAGTGGACGCCTTTCAAAAAAATCCGTCGATAACTCTACTAGCGATCGATGGAAATCCTTTGTCGACCGTTCCAGAAGAGGCTCTCGCACGATTGAACGGGACACTTAGAGGTCTGAGTTTAGGAGGTCGATTTCTGGTCTGCGATTGCAGATTACGTTGGATCGTCGATTGGATAAAAAGCAGGGATCTGCAAGTCACTAGTCGGGAACGCAAACCACAGTTTTGCGGAAGTCCGCAGAAGTTGCAGGACAAAAGCTTTTACAACATCAATCCTGAAGGTAATAATACGTACATACAAAAATGGTGCTTTTATATAAAACGATCTAAACGAATTTTTTGTACTATTTATACTGTTATTAGTTATGATAAATAGGTATAATGTATATCTCCGTTTATTTTAACATATCTCTGTTTAAAGGGATAAATGTTGTTATGTTAAATATTGTTAACTTCCAAATGACCTTAAAATGAAAAACATGTTTTTATCAGAAGAAAGGAATTGCATAAAATTTACGTGTGCTAGTACAAAACTGACTTCAGAAGATATTCAAAATGATTACCGTTAATTTCCATACATTTTTGAATACCCTTTTTCGTCTCTCTTTTAATGGTGATTAAAAGTAAAACACACCTTTAAACACTCTCTCGTATGGCTCTGTTCACGCTTCGGAACAGTTTTTAAGTTACAAAGGATGTAATAATATCAAGACTCAAATTAAGAAACGTTTGCAATGTGGTGGAGAACCTTTTGAACACCATTCATAAACTTAAAAGCTGTTTGGAAGCATGAATAGAGCCGTACAGGTAAGAGAACGCTTAAAAGTACATATGCTTTACTAAGAAAGTTAAAATATTTCGTGAATTGTTTAGTTTTCGATAATCTAACTCTAATACTTCTATACGTAGAATAACCCAAACAATTGATTTATGCAAGAAAAAATTATGTAGTTCCATTAAAAAAAAGAAGAATGCAACTGCACTTTGCAATCACATCAATGCACAATAATGCATAAAAGTAATACAGGAATGTAGGAGGTAACACCATTTAATTTTGACTTTATATATTTGTTTGTATCTCTGAGCGTTTTAAAGATATAGCTCTACCTAGATGTATGAGACACTCTGTTAAATCAGCTTTGTAATCCATCATTTCCTCTGACTAATCCTATAAAACTATCTATCAGAAATGACCTGCGAAAGGACTCCAGAAATCATCGGAATAGGCACAGTAGAGAGCGTAGACACTAGAGAACCTACAGGATCCATCGGAGTAGTTAGCAGTTATAATCCAACCACTCGTCCCTCTATCAGTGTAGCAACTGTAACAACAACAACCTTGCCAAGTACAGAACTTCAGAGTACGGATGCACCATCTTCCACCACTCCGAGAACAATCACCAATAGACCAACGGTTGCACGAACGGGAAATGTGGTGATAATGAGGACCACGTTGTCTCCGGTGAAGCTCGCTCAGGACCACTTGCAACAACATCAACCGAGACCGCCACTGGTGCTCGGTTCGCCACTTTACAAGTCGAAATCGAGCGACAAAGACATCATAGTTAAGGATGTGCTCAGACAAGATAATGCTGTAATTATATACTGGGACACCGAGACGACTAATATTTTGGGTTTCAAAGTGATTTATAGATTGTTCGGAGATAGTAGTTTTAAACAGGCCCCGCCTCTGGAAGCCAGCGAACGAGAATTCAAAATTAAGAACGTTCCTTCACAGGTAAAGCAATTTAACAAGTAGTACAAGCATAGGCTTATTAGGGTGGTAGGCAAAGTTTTCGAACTTAAATATTACATAACCACTTACTACAATTAAAAGTAATAATTTTATAATGATTTTTTTCTGCAAAATTTTATCCAGTAAAATTCAAGTTCTGTATACCCTACTGTAGTTGACAGACTTAGCTTGTTGCATTTATTTGCAACAAATTGTAATTCATATGTTTACTTCACTATGGTAGGAATGTATCGTAGTTTGCGTGGTCTCATTGGAAGAGACTAACATCACTCCAGCAAATGTACCCTATAACCAATGCAAGGAAGTCAGGACGGAAAATTCACCTACATCCAATATGGACAAAATTACTATTGCTGCCAGTGCAGCTATATGCGCCACTATAGTGGTCGCGGTGATAATATTCATTGTCGCGAACCGGCGAAGGGCCAGAAAACTTCACACCCTTCACAGTATAGATCAGACAAAAATGGGAGGACCGATTGCTGGATTACCTGTCAACTGTTGCTCTACCGTTGGACCCACGCCCAGCCCTGGTGGGCCATTATCTTCAATGGCAACTCTCAGTGCTTATAACGCTCAAAAAGAATGGGATCAAGTGTCTGCGTACAGTAACAGGAGCATACCAAGGCCAAGAATATTTCCCATAGATCGACAAGGTATAAAAAATATCAAATTCAAAAGTGGTTTCAATTTAATAAAGAAATTATTGGATAAGAATAGAAAAATTCGAAGAAATATCTTCTCTCGAATTAAGCTGTAGTAAAAAATTAATCTACATTTATACAAATTGTAGACAGTTGTTTGTAATTGTTTCTTTTTCTACCAGGTTTCATCTTTGAAGCCAGATTAGGGTGTACCATTTAGCTAAACTCAAGTTTATCAAATACTACGTACCTATTTTCGAATGTATCTACGTTTAAAAAAATACGAAAAAAAAAGTTTATTATTATTTATAAAATTTTCTATTACTATTCCTATTAGTAGTTTTGTTTCACATTTTCAACTGATTTTCACATAAACAATTACATCTTTCCCGATTGTATTGCACAAATTCAGTTATGCTTTATTTACAAAACGTTATCAAAAAGAATAGACAAAGGTTCGCAAAGTAAACGAAGCATATTCATTCTTATCATTTCCAGGTTCGATAACCAGAGCATCCTGCATAGACGACATTAGATCTCAGACAGGACATTACAGTGGAAAAGTATCAACTCGATCCGTAGTCGATGGTCAATCTCAGCACAGTTTTTCCAATACATCAACAAGATACTTTGGAAACAATACTTTATCTTCTAATCTTGCCAATACAAGATCAGGTTTGTTCCTTTTAGAAATTAGATGGAAAACCTAATTCTGTTTTATAATTAGACAAATAAATAGGGCTTTTTTACAGAACTGAGGCAATCGCGACAATCTTTGGCAGCAGCTTCTGACAGAATGTCAAGGACTAATTTCTCACCAAGTCATATGCCACCGCATTCTTCATCCAGAAGGCAAAGACCAAGATCGTGTAATCGTACGCTGGAGCAAAATCCGCCACGACCAGGTAGTCGATACAGCATAGCCGATTCGACGCATACTCTCAACAATTATGAAGAGAATAACTGGACTGATCATGACATGGATATATATATGGCGCGTAATCCAACTACCAGGACTGGTCTCATGCCTCTTTGATTCGACACACCATGTGTGTGCGTGTGTTTCTGTGTGTGAGTGCATGCGTACGCGTACGTGCGTGTGTATATATGGTTTTGCTCAAACGTGTTCAATGACATTTTTTTTTTAGAGCACTCGATTTGCTCTCACTCATGTAGATGTATTATAAATAACATGACATTTTAGAAGATATAGAGTTCATAGATAGCATATCGTTTGTTAGAGTAACGATTCGAGTCTGCGTTATTACAAATATTACTGTGTAATTATGTATTAACGTAACAGCACGAAAGAGAATGTTATAAAAATGTGTAACTTTAAGAAGCTCGACATAAAACAAAGAATGTCTAAAGATGCACGTTTAGAAATATGTTTTATGTGTACTTGAATGAAATGTCTAATCTTAATTGGTTCGGGCACACGATCTCTCGAAACAATCATAGGAATAAGTAGTGTTGTAAATGAGTCAAGATTAATGTGCACGAGTGGTGGATGTGTTTTTATCCAAAGACTGTATCATAAACAAGCATCTATCAAAATCTGTATTACGTTTAATGTCTCGTGCTTATAGGCATGTTTGCAAGATATGTATCGACATTAAAAGTGTTTCGTAACATGTGGTACGTTCTGACAATGAGAGATTTTTCCGACAAATATAGAACGATTTTGTATATTTTTAATACGTCGATAATTTACAAGTTTCAATATTAGTATAGAAAATCGAAGCTGAAAATATACACAGTGAAACTGTGTGCATGTTCTTCTTCAAAATATCATGTAAAATTAGATCTAATAAAATTCATATTAACGAAGAAGCGGTATAGTTTCTCATTTCCCGATTCTATCGCATTTTATAAAAGTGTCAATACATAATAAACTTTTTTAAAAAATGATTCACATATATTATTTTTTACCGTGCAGGTTATTAATAAAATGTGCAGTACTTACCCAGGTATAAGAATATTTCTTTCCCACCGAAACCTGACTTCTTGCACGAATTCGTACCATACTTGCGCCAATGCTGCTGTTCCTCCGAGATTATGCGTACAATGTGCCGCGACAATCGCAAGACGCCACACTAAGCTATCCATTACACAGGTTTTAACACCTTTCCATTGATCTTCGTCTACGTTACATATGGTCAAGTCACCATACGGAGTTTTCTGTAATATCAAGTAATTTTCATAATGTTTTACTTTTATTTCTCGAACAAATATTAAGTAAAGTTTTAAACAAATTATTACTCACAGAATTTTCGTCTGCATCAGGAAAAAGAAAATAAAGTATCGGCAGTAATATCTCCTCCGATATCGGTCCTTCTATGTTTTTATTTTTCTTTGCGCTTGCTTTACTAACAACCCTTGAAATTGTTGGTATTTTAGATTCGGTAAATATATTGAAAACCGAACTGAAAGCTTGATCCTCTTGTTGGGCATAAATTATAGCGTCCCCAAGCAAATCTACTATGGTTTTCTGATTATTACAAAGATGTAAAAAATCCGTTAAGTACTCTCCAAGTAAGCAAGCCGGAGACGAAACCATTTTTACTTGCACTGACCATTTAGGGGCTAATTGTGGTTCTAAATCAGTAAATGCTTCGCTATCTACTGCAACGTTCTCTGACATTTCAGGCCATGTAGTAAATAAATGAAGTTCTCTGAAATGATTTCATTGAACAAATTTGACCGATTCATGAATTTGACTACATCAGTTATTTCTTTTTTGTCGGGATATAAAAATCTTACGCGATTGGATCAAATGTTGCTCCGAATGGAAGCTTTCCAAGTTCAGCTACACCTAATGTTTCTCCTTGCATGAAGTCAAAATCTGGAGGTTCTTGAGTCCATGTGCTGCTAGTCCAATCTTTCAACAGGTAAGAAAACCTTGTGGATATCATCACCTGATCGAGTCTTATTCCGCAACCTTCTCCAACTTTTTGTTTAAACAAAGCAAGTAAACCTGAAAATAACATATATTTATAACAAATTATCATGTATCATTGTGTGTGATCACGAGACTCCAATTGTGTAACTGTATAACTAATACAATTACTTCTATACTTTTCTTTTAGAAACTCTATTCATACCAGTTAGGTACTTGCAGTGCGGCGGTATTTTTTTCAAGTGTACCATGTCAAAGTGGGTACAAACTCCTTTCCCAATACTAGTTCCAAGATACATTTTTTGCCATGGTTCTTGTATTTGTACTAATGTAGGTACATCGCTGAAAATAAATTCTAATTATAAGAATAAACAGATTTTATGGAAGCATTAATATGTAATATTAAATGGACAATCTTTCTAATTACCAATTGGCATTAGTTGCTGCAATTGCAAGAGAACTAAGTAAAATTCTAATTTTAGTTTCATCCATCACAGAATCCTTCTTTGAAGACTGTAAAACAATAAATTCTCTAATACCATAATAGCAAGCTATTTCTAAATGATTTCCATCGAGTCTAACAAAATCATTTGATGCATTTAACGCATCCTTTTGACACTGTATTATCTCTTCTTCGCTTTCTTCGTTCTCTTCTAAAGGACTATCCATATCTTCCACTTCTAATTTTAATTTAAAGTGCTTTAATGTAAATTCTGCATCTGAAATAAATGAAAGACATCTGTTTGCATCAATTTTGTTATCAATTAAACAAGGACATACATTTTTGTCCACTACGTTCTATTTTACTTTCAGTGAAGTTAGAGCTACAAATATATATATATACGAACAAACCAGCAAAATTAAGTTTTTCCGAATTTTCTTGCCATTGACAATTGACAAAATCACCAGACTTTAAACAACGGCCTATTTTCGTATTGGGTAACTTCCATTCGTGCATAATTTCTTCTAATCTTGCAATGAACACCTCCCATTCTGACGCCGTCGTAAAGTCATGATGATAAAAATCTTCGATTTCAACGTTGTTCATTCTTTAAATACTCTAATAGTTTGAAAGACGTTGTTTACGGACAAACTGTTTAATCCCTTTTTTAAGGTTAATTGTTTGACATTTATTCATTACCCATTGAGTTACAATTCTTTTTGAACTGCACTTAAAGAGAGCAGCACCATGCATTTCTAGCAGAATAGATCACAGACGACAGACGGAATATGGCTACAGACGACATACAAGATAGACCTTGCATCTTATGGAACTTTTTGTCCGAGGCATTGAGGCCGAGAAGACCCTTACCATTTTCGTGTCGCTACCAACGTTAACGGTTTAGTACAGAATAAGATTACAACATTAGTAGCGGTTAGAATTAAAACTAAATGTAAATATGAAATGACAAATAAAGTATAGGACAGAATATCTCATAATTGCACACGAAATATAGAATTCTATACTTCTACATGTATAATATGTATCTACATACATTAAATTGATCGGAAAATTTTATCGTTTTATTTTCAAAGAAAGTACACTAATTTTCGATTAAAGTTTTACCCATTAATCTGTGGTAAGGGTATTTATTGCTAATTATTGTCTCCTTAGTACCCATTAATTTATTTATCCCCTTTATGGAAAATTTCTCATTCTTGTGAGCAAAATATTCTGGCAATATGTTTGCAAGTTTATCGCATTGTGTTTTTATAGTCCATATTTTGACAGTTAGACCGAGTATATATTTGAATTTTTAGTCATTTATCGAAATTTTTGAACGGAATTGTAAAACAGGTGACAAAACTTTTGAATCAATCTAATATTTGTTCATCCTTATAGGTTGCTTTCATATGGGTGAATAAACAGTTGATCGAGACGATAATTCAGAGCAGAAACTATTATGCATAACTATTAACTATTTTTTATTCGACATGTCCTACCCGCATAAAAAATTATCATTTCGGAAACTATTAATGATTTCATTATCCTTTTATTCAGGAGAGATTGAGTTTTATAAATAAGTACTTTTAATATAAAAGACTGTTTTTACTATTCAAAAATTACAAATGCATACAAAAGTTCTATTTTACATTTTATATTATTTTTTATACGAAGAAATAGATATTTTTCTTTAAATTGCCTTTTCATCAAAACGCCCTTACTTCTAATGACAGCCTGACATATTCTGGGTATCCTGGCAATTAGTTTTTCGAGTATTTCTAACTTTAAACTTTTCCATGCTTCTTATAGTAGTTGCCAAAGGTGTCCTTTCGATGTTGGACAGTGCAACCGGATATTCCGATCGAGTTCTTCCCACAAAAATTCTATCGGATTCAAATCCGATGATAGTGTTGGCCATGTCATATTCCTCAAGACCCGCTCTATTTCTTTTTTGCAATAAGAACCCTTTACACAATTTAGATGAATGCTTATAGTCGTTATCCTGCTGCATAATAAAATTTCTACGTATTAACCGGTGACCTGATGGTAAAGCCTGCTGTTCGAGTATCTGTTGATAGTTTTCTTTTTTCATTGTATTTTCTACTTTGATTAGGTCTCCTACTCCAATCGTTGAGAAACATCCCCAGACCATAACTGAACCACCACCATGTTTGACAGTAGGTACAATACGCTCTGGCAACATTTTTTCTTGTACAGATCGGCGAACGAATATCCTCCGGTGCGACCCAAATATTTCTAACTTGGATTCGTCAGTCCAAAGAACCTTACCCCAGTCCGTAGGTGTCCAATTTTTGTGACTTTTTGCCCAATCCAACCGCATTTTACGATTTTTCGACGAAAGCAATGGTTTCTTCACTGTTATACGGCCATTTAAACCTGCAGCTCTTAGTCGCCTTTTCACCGTGGTCAGAGACATTGGATTCGGTCTACTATTAGTAAGTCCTATACGAATTTTCGAGGCCGTTAGTCGTCTGTTTCGTTTGCAAATAATATTTATTCTTACATCTTCAGCTCTCGACGTGATTTTGGGTCTTCCTGATCATGGTTTGTCTTTCAAACTACCAGTATCCGCAAAAAGTTTTACTGTACCCTGCACGCCCTTGTATGATACTTTCAATTTCCTTGCAATATTCCGCAAAGAATAACCTTCCTTTCTAAGTGTGATAATTGCACTTCGAGTTTCAATACTAATTTCTATTCTTTTTGCCATTTTAAAGTATTAATGTAAAATTTTAGCTGCTGATCACGTTTCAACGCCTTCGTTCACGAGAATTGTGGCAATGTATAACAAATGTCCAATTTATACATTTTCGGGGCCCCCAGACCAGCCAATTGGAATCTAAAATTGTAACATTCGACGCTTATTGGTAAACAAAAGAATCGCGAATTCCTATATGAGGCGAAAACAGAGTAATTTTCCCGGCAGAAGAAAAGTTCATTCCGAGCGTTGCCTTAAACTGAGTGTATGAATTATATAATAGCATTATGGACATAAGAAAATGCTGAAATCTCTTAAAATATAATTCAACTTGTTAAGATCTGATATATTAACGATGGATCATTCCAAAATTACCGGTATATTCGATTTTGATAGAAATCGGCAAGTGATTCCAAACTTTTGGCCGATAGTCCGATTTATGTTGTGTTTGGACTCATTTTCATCGGGAGAACCTCATGAAAATGATAAAAAGATGAAATTTTCGTCATTGAATGATTCATTGCAGCGCGCACGTTATCCCCTGCAAATACCATGTCTCGCTTACTCTCTCAACAGCTATTCATTTTTCTTGTCGATGTGTTATGTTTTTAGGTATATGGTGAGCTGAAAGCTGCATACAGGGTGTCCCGTAACTCCTCGAACACCTGGAAATGGGGGGGTGCTGTGCTGACTCTGAACAACTTTTTCCCGTTTCCCGTTTCCCGTGCAACCACGGGAGCGCTCGACTCTCATCCGCGCGCAATCGTGAACAAACGCACTGGCACAGCTTGGGAATCGAGGGAAGCGTGCGGCAAATGTTACATCGTCTTAAATTAAGAATAATCTGGAATTATTCGTTATTCATGAATAACAAATAAACTAATAAGTCGTTTAACACGTTGAATGCCGGACCAATTCTACGTTACTTGTCCACGGTGCCGAAAAGAATTTTTTATTCTAATAAAACACGTTGCAATATGCATAAAATATGTCAATAGTTAGAAATAAAACTATTTAAATATGCTGTGCGATGCATTAGGTGAAAATTTTTATAAATACCACCATTTATTCAAATTAAATGCTTTTACCATTTTTGAGACCGCCGGTCACCGATCACCCCCACGGTATTTAACGTGTTAATAATTGTTTTCGATACTTTTATTCGTTATCCGAAAAGAATAAAGGGTTTTATTACTTATGAAAAACTTACCCATTCGTACACGAATCAACCTGCTTCGACGGAAGTGGGTTATTGTGCTGACCCTGACCTTTCAAGGCAACCCTCAACAGCTGATGTTACGGTCGGGTCGGTGAACTCACTTCACTGCACAGCCACTTTAAATGTTTTCGACGATATTATAAAAAATAAATCGTTGCTACATCGTAATCGCAAAATAGCCAGTTTTCCGTTTACAATACGGTATGGATAATAATGTAATTTATGACACTAAGGTGGGTGAGGAAACGCCGTTACACTGTTTTCACCTCAATTTATTAAGATATACATAAGTGTGATGGTAGGTGAACAATTCGCCCGGAAAATACAATCGTTTTATGCGTTAACTGGCCCTGCGGCAGCGGTTCGGCGGGTACGTCTCGACGGTTGGTAGAAGAAAAACTGAACTGAGATGCGGGTGTACTTGCCACTGCCAACAAGCCCTTACCAAACCTTGTTCTATTCTTCCACGCGAACTTTCTCTTTTCCAATTCCTTTAGATTTTAGTTTCCGTTGTTTTGTCTCTCCCCGGGTTAAGACTTGCCCTGGTCCTCGAGGAGCCTAAGATGCGCACACGTGGCATCCAGGTTTGCACGAGGACGAACGGCCCGTAAGGGTTGCCTCATTTTTTTAAAAAATCTCTAACGCAGTTTAGTAAACGCAATAAAACGCGATATCTCACACTTCTTGTGATGTTTCACGTAAAAAAAAATTCTAAATCTTTTTCAAGGGGTGATTTTGTCCCTTAAAACCGAATTATGGCACCAACGAAAAATAGGGTTTTATTACGGACGACATACTTGTACGCAAAGTTTCATAATTTTTTGAATTTCCGGGTTGCCTACCCTTCCTTGTCAGTAATAGATGCTTATAGTTTTCATTAGATCTTTATGAAATCACCAATGTTTTGTGGACTATATCATAAACAATAAATTTTACAGTGGTATTATGTGTAATTAAAAGCATTACTTAATAAGGTCACATTTAGACTTACTTTTATCAACAAAATCTCATAATTTGATAATATTCTCATTATACTGTAATAAAAAAATATAAGAACGTAATTTTTTATTAGTGGATAATTCATCCCATGCGTGTGTTCTACTGCTGTCGAAAGATCGTTAATAGTTCTACCCACGCAATGCAGTATATGTATCTTTATATGTAAATTTAACAAAAGAGGATCTTTTACATCTGTTGACTTTACCATTTTTGAAGGTTGAAATGTATATAATTTATAAACTCACCGCTCTATATCGTAGAGAGCATAACTTTCTGACTTTTCACACGACCGGTATTTCAGAACGTGAGACATAAAGTCCCGTAATGTGATTGGTCTATCTCATACCTTCTCTGTAGTAATACATACATACATTTTTATATTTAAATTTATTATCTTCGAAATACATCAAGTTTTTTATTAACTTCGAAATACATCAATAAATGTATTTACACTTGGAATACAATGCGAAGCTATGTTCCTAGCATCCTGTAAAATATTACACCATCCTTAAAACTTTTATAATTAAAAATGTATTATTCAATATTAAGAACAAGTTTATTGTTACATATTTCAATTTTCTTTTCAAAAATTTTATTAAGAATATAATGATGTGTTATTTCTTACTTTTTTTGTGAGTATATCGAACCCTGCTATGTTCAGTATATACTTATAAGGTAAAATTGCATGATGATTACTAATATTTAAACGGCAGTTTAAATCGAAACGTTCCAAATCTTTCAGAACTTCCTTGGGAACATTTCTTAAAAAATATTTGTTTCTTTTCTTCTTGAATGGCTGAATGCAAATATGTATCAGAAAATGTAATTGTTAAACGCAAAAATTTAATGATAAATCTTTTGTAGCACATTAGTACAGCATTTACATACCTCATCATACCATAATGCCTTAATAATGTCTTCAATATAAACAGATATCGTGTACATTTTCTTTTCGAATACATTTTCTGCTTTCTTTCTAAATTGTAAACCTACATCGTGATACCTGCAAATGAATATTAAAATTGGGAAAATAACTTATAGATGCAAAAAAAAATGTAATATAAATACCTTAATAATAATTTGCATATTCTGGACAAAATCGCAGAGATTTTTGTAACAAAACCTCCATAAATTACTGCAGGCGGTGCTACTGTAAAGGACAATATGATGCTGCGATTTTCTAATTCACAAATCTAAATATTTTAAATAAAATTAGGAGACTAAATTACTAATATTTTATTGTCATTTATGTTAATTAGATGAAAGTATTTCCAGTTAAATAACTATTTATCTTCATAACTTACATCTTCATAAAAGGATAATGCTTCTGAAAGCAATAAAACATTATACAAATGTATATTTAAACCCGACACAATAAGATCCTCTGAAATTTTTGTAAGAATTGAAATCGCGTTTTCCAAATTATCCATTGGACTTTGACCTAAAAATGGTGCAGGTGTGTTTTGGCAGCATTCTTCGAATCCTTGATTAACAAACTACAAAAAACAGTGCTTTAAGATATTTGTAAACTATAGTGTTTTGTTAATAGAGCTAACATATTTAGTTTTACATCAAATCGTATTATTTTCAAGTTTAGTACATATACGAGAAACATAACTTCATTAAATAAGATTAGTTTGATGTACCATATTTGTAATCAACATTTTTAATGTTTTGATGATTTCACATTTTGTAGTTACGGTTGATTCATAAAATATATTTTGTACATGTACTAATATTTTTTCCTGTAAATCTGAAAGTATTTTATTTTTATGGTACAAGTTACACTTAACATATGAGTATTAATGAACATATTTTATTGAAAATATACCGCTAACAGGCACTGATGTCATCCACTGTAATAAAGCCAATAACTTCGACTGATGTTCTCCTGTGTTAAAATATAGGTACGCATCGAGGAAATGATTGACAACCGGTATACCTTGTTGCATGTATCGTGAAAATTCTACAGTCATATCAAGTAATCTATCAATATCTTTCATAGAAAATTTGTCATTTTCAAACATAAACGCTAAAATAAAGGAAATGTTAAAATTATTAATTTAAAGAAAAATACGTTACAGACTAATGCTATAAATATACCCCTTGTTAAAGTATTATGTAGATTGTAAGAGAATCTACTTTGATATTCAAAATCAGCAAATGTAAGAAGATGATATCCAGCTGTATTAGACAAAAGGGATATAGCCTTGCATGGTAATTCTATGCTTAAATGCAACTTTCCCAATTCTTCTACACTGAAATATTTTACTCTCTTAGGAATATTAATCACTAAATAATTTGTAATGTTAAAATTAATTACTTACTTGGAGATATCAAAAATAGATTTAGTATCCTTCTCTTTAAAAATACTAGAACCAATTTGAAAATATCCTACAGATGGTAAGAGAGGCTCCATATTTTTCCGTGTTTTGCCACTCTATTAACATTGAAAAATATGTTACATTCATACTAAAGCAAATTGTACCATTATCAAATACTTACCTCCAATGTGCACCAATTAAAACATTTTAAATTTATATCTTCTGCTTGTTGAACTTCTAAACGAGCTTTAGCATTTTGAAGCATTAATTGTAAAGTTTCAGGTATTGGCTTCCATACACTTTCTATATTTACAGATTGAAATCTTTCAGGAACTAATTCGGGCTTATAAGACTTGAACAATCTGAGATAAATTATACATGAAGTAATATTAAATTTGCTTAAAATAAAACATTTTAAATAGTAAATACTTACGATAGTAAGGCAACAATGTGTGTTCGAGATTTTGCATATTTCTGATGAAGATATAATAGTCTAATTACATCTCTACGAGTTACATCTTCTGGTTTTGCTAATACATAAATAAGATGTGCTATATTTTTTTCCTATGAAAATAATAGAATTGCGTAATTACATTATTGTAGAAATTCCTAGTTTTAGTTAAAAATTTATAAACTACTACATACAATACTAATATATAGAAGTAATATTTACCAGTTTCTCATATTTTAGCAACAAATGAAAAAACACACCATAAAATATATTTATAACTTTTTTATCTGTTAATTGGTGATCCAATATACCTAAAGGCATATAAATAATTACAATTTTTACATCATATTTTTCCTATCTGTTCCAATATTATATACTTCCTGTATAATAAAAATAATATTACCAAGAATCCATTGTACAATGCTATTGGATACAGAAATAGCCAGTCCTCCTATGGATGATAAACACCAAATAACAATGGTTTTAACTGTAATTTCAGGTACTCTGTATCTTGGAACTAAACACCTTATTAAAGGCACTTGTTTAGTAACACCTATAAAATATTTTTCTTAGTTTATGCTTTGAACAAATATAGTTGTTTACTTTTTACACATTTGAAATATACTAACCTAAGTTAGTCGTTTTCATAATAACATTTGCCAATAAATTAATATCGTCGTCATTTAGTCCTTTTGATGCAACGTAAGATTGTAACTTATCAAGTGATTCTTTAAACCCAGAATAATTTTTTCCTCTTTCTGTCAAAAATGTAAAGAAAATAAATTAAATGCAGTACTTAAAAAATTGGAGGTTAGAAAGAGTTTCATTGTTTTTACATAAATTTCCAAGAGATAATAAACATAAAATATAAACTAGACTTTTATTCTTAGTCACATACGTTTTAAAGCATGCAAAAATTTTAAGCAAACATCCCTTTCTTTGTCATCGGACATTTTCTTGAAATTTTAAAGAAACTTTACATGTACAGTATACATATACTTTACTTTCCGAACCGTTGCTAAGGAAATGCGTCATAATGGCAGTAATTGAAATATTTTCAAGTCCCATCCAATACAAATATAAAAGTAAAATATATTCTTTAAGCTTTCTCGTTGTAATATTCCTCACAATTTTATCATTGCTTACGCCGTTTTTTATTATTTATAACGCGGGTGGTAAGCACTTTTAATATTTTGGTGTTTTATATACGGTTATATAAATATACTATGTGTTTTTTAATGGTGTTAACTAAAGAGTTCTATTGTTGTATATCATTATTAATTCTTAGGTTTCTCACTGAAAAATCGTATATATACTGAAAGGCCTGATATATCATTTAAATATAAATATTTATTGCTGGCAAACAGGGATTACAATATGAATCCTGTAGTTTGTTCAACTTTTAGAACGTATAAAAATAACGAAATTGAAGATAATTGTACATTAGTGAAGGTTGTACTGTTACATTATTATAATATAAAAAATAGAATTATTTCGTATACATAAATTATCATATATATATACATTTTGTGCAAATATTAATTTTTTTATGTTTCAGGTTCAAGAAATAGATACAAACAGTGATAGCAAAAATGACATTTTTAAATTTGAGGTTCAGTTTTATACAGATACACCTATAAGGTCTCTTAATGTTTTGCTTTTCTTCAATTTTCAACTAACGGTAAAAAGTTTCTTATCATCTTCTTACTATTCTATTACTTATAAACATTGGTGTTCTTGATTTGTTGCAGCAATTGTTCGTGGCAACAATAGAATCTATTGCAGTTTTTACACATGTATTAAATGAAGAGGTACAAAAAATACAATTCTACGGAGACCTGATATTGGAGCAGAAAGGTCTCTTGACTAGTGAAGGGTTATATGAAAAATATAATGACAGTGTTGAACTGGCTGATTATTCTCTGGAGGAATTACTTAAGCAAAATTTTAATCGAAAATGTCAGTAATGTTTTCTAACATTTTTTTATAAAACTAACAGAAATTATAATATTATAACAATTTATTTCAGTTTCAGCTAAAATTAGCAACAAATATGTAACAAAACAAGTAGGTTACTCAAGTGAAAACGCAGTAGTTGTCCAAGGCGAATTGATTTATAGGGAGCACTTAACTTATTATCAGCCTAATATTTGGGAAGAGCTAAAATGGGCATGGGTTCAATATTTGTCATGTCTTTTTATTTTTGCCTACATAGTAAAGCATATTTTGATTTTTTTATTTTCAAATAGATATTTGAATTGTTATATCGTGGTACCATGGAAAAATAAATAATAGTGTAGCACATTAAATACTTTAATTAATTGAATTAGTTTTTCTTTATACTATATTTTCACAATGAAAGTTGTATAGTACTTATAAACTACCATTTTCATACCTATTGTTTTATTTATTAAATATACGTTTAATTGAATTGTTATGATAAAAATAGGAATATTAAAATTTAGAATGATAAATATTAATGCTTTTCAAAGTATTAGAACATAATATCTTTTATTATTATTATATAGCAGAATGTCTAAATAAATTTTTCAGCTTATATGTCATTTTTATGACATACTAAAACGGTTGCTCAGTTACAATCTATTCCTACGCGCATCAATATGTGTTGATATCAGATGTGTAAATTGGATCAATATTAAGTTTTAAAAGCTTATATTCGACTGCACCACAGTTTCTGCAAATCCATAGGTAATATGTCTAATAAATTTGTGCGACCAATATCTAATTGTTGTATGTATAAATATATCAATTGTAATATTTGTGAATATATTAACACGATCCATTCGATTTTCTATAAACGAGAAATTTATTCATTAAAATAAGCGGATTCCAGCGCGAATAAAGTTCTACTGAATAAAATCTAAGGGAGATTATTTAACCCAAACTAATTGGATCGTGAAAAATCGTTTCAATTAACAGCATTGGGATTAATGGTAGGAAGAAATGTTTTTTTTGTAAGGCGATTGCTATGAAAAATAGAATAACAAAATAAAGAAAAAAAAACATGAAAGAATTTGCATTAAAATTATATTAACTATTGACCAATAATAAAAATCATCTTTTGTACTGTAATTTGATATTTTACAAGAAATATTTTTGTGTAAAGTTACTAATACATTTCGGAACGAAAGACAACCGAACAATATTTTTCAACATTACTTTTTTCAGTATCTTTAGTAGACTACAATAGTAAATTTCGGTGAAAATGTTGGTGCTGTCTGTTAAATTATGTCGAAATATCAAAAATTAAATTTCTGCTACGATTCTCGACAACTTTCATTAATTTGTGTTTTAGCAATCCGTTTCGAAATGTCTTATCAGATATTATGTTACAGGGATTGAGAGAAAGCCTGAAAGATGATTACTCTAATACATAGATAAGGAAACTGAAGAAACGTCGAAAAATTTACATAAATAGAAACCTGTGCTAATTAATAATTAACCAAAATTGTGTGTCACGTCTAACCGTTTTTTACTTTGTTTTATTAGTTATAACGTCATACATTACTGTATGTAGTACAACAAAATTGAACGTTCGATGGCCAACTTTAGACTTGAAAATAGAAGAGAAAATTGTATACTGCATGTGCAAGCGGTAAATTTTCATTTTAGTTTTTTTTTCATTTAATTTCTTTCGTGGGTTTATCGCTCAGTGTAACCGAGCATTCGTGACTAAATTAACACAATGCTATCCACGATTGGAGCTCCTCACACGGTTAAGATTATACGTACCGTAGTGTAAACAAGAACGCAGAAAGCACAGGCAGTGAAAGTAGATCCAACCATAACCAGCATACCTGTATTACGAGTAGAAACGGAGCGTAGCGAAGGAAGGATTCTAATTGTAAGCTTTAGAGTTTAGGTTGGATAACTGTAGCTTATCACATCGTTAAACGTACGAATAGAATTACCATTTTTCATCGCGTTACTCATCATTCATAACTAATATCTTATTCTCATATTGAATTGAATCAAATTTTATACGGATTGTAATTTCAAATTTCATACAAAAATTAATTTTTCTAATATACTTGCACCAGTATGATTGATAAAATGACATAACGGAGTTAGCAAATCTTCTAAAGTACGCGCTCGCACGCGCTCGCACGCGCCTGTTCAATGAGGGTGGAGACTGCGCCGTGTCCCACCGGTTACCTCTTTGTCACATCTGCCATACACTTTCCAACGACACAAAGCTCTTCCTTCAATTATTTATTCCCGAAAACGAAACGAGCGTTACGCGCTAGTGGCCGACTATAATTGTAAGATGATTCGCAAACAAATGAGTGTGTTGAAACGAAGCAAACCTTGATCACAACATCGAGGAAGGGTGAGTGGTGTTCGAAGAATAATGCTAATAGAGGTTGCTGCGGATGCTGTCAGAACGTTCACTGAACCTTGGGCTTTATATCTTTATTTCGCAGTACAAACTATTCGTCTTTGTATTTTTCCACAACTTTCTTTTCTCGTTGAAGGATAATTTTTGTTTATTTTTTATTTTTTTTTTGTCAAATGTAGGTTTTGAGGTTTATTTTTGAAGAATTTGACGGAGTTTGATCTTTTTAAGAGTTCTGCAATCACGTATACACTGCTGTTTGTGAATTACTGAACACTTGATAGATTTACATTAACAACAAACTTCTGTTATAAAATCAATTTAACATTTACTAATTTTTACCTCGTAGTAATGTAATCTGTAGTAGTGTTAAATTGAATATTTTTTAATTTATTTGTTTACATTATAGACAAAATATAAATAATATTAAGATTCTATTCGACGTGTTTAGTTCAATAAGTATCATTTTGTTCGAAATTGAATAGGAGTCCAGTGTCTTAAAGACGGGAGTGTATTTATGTTGTATCTATATATAATTAAATAAAAAGTTGTTTAAATAGTTTTGAAAACACAATGAAACATAATTGTAATTGAAAACATTAATAATTATTGTTATACAACAGTAGCTGCAATTTCCGAAAAAATAAAAATGGTAACGCTCATTGAACTTGTTGAAAACTTTAATTTCTCAAAACTAATATTAATTAGTTCATTACCATCGACAATTGATTACCATTTCTTCAACCATTTTTATTATCTATCACTTTTCATTGCTATCATCATCATCATCATCAGCATCATCATCATTGTATAATTTGTACACAAGTATTCGGACACTTACTGAATGTTGTTACAACATTATTAAGATCTAAACAAAATTATTTACCCTAAAATCTCGTAATATAACGTGTATATTCATTTTTGCTAATATGTGGTATCTACTAAATTTAACAAAGAAATGTAATTTAAATCATAATACTTTCTGCATGAACATAATTAGTGTCATAATATTTATGAACGGCAGTGTACATGAAACTTTATGTTAATCATCGATAAATCTATCGAAGTTACCACACGATAGCAATTTCGCTTCTTTTCCTTTTTTTTGCCAAAAATTATACTTACTGTTACAGTTAGTTAGACGGTAAAATAAATTTCATTGAATTAATTATTAGCGTAGTATAACAGTATTGGAAGAACCATGTCAACAAGGTCGAAGGAAAAGGTCGTAGCTGCCTTTCGAAAATTCTTTCGATCTTCGGAGAAGATTTCGGAGCAGGATGGGGCAGGTAGTTCGACGAGTTCGCCGTCAAGGAGGCTTCTGAGTCGACATCATCGTCCCGACGCAGTTACTCCCGCTGATGCTGCGTTATCTGATAATTCAGGCGCCAGCAACTCCAATCACGCTAGTTGTTTCTTTAAGTCGAAGAAGTCTGCTAGCAATTCGACCCAGGTATCTTGCTATTTCCAAAAAATACATCAGTTATGTAGTTTCATTTATCAATAATACATATTAACGGCTCACATGTCTTTTTAAGTATCTGAAAATGTTCTCACCTTGTCTAACTAATAATAATATTTATAAAAATTCACTAACATTTAAACTGTTGTGTATGAAAAGGTAACTATAGGACTTTTTGTGAACTATTGATAGCAAATGTCACCGATTAATAGAACTTATTGAAAGAAATAAGAAAAGTCTCAATAAACATAAGTCGGTAGCCACTAATCATTTTCGAGATATTCAATTTTTTAATCTCCGTGTGTATATACAGGGTGTATCACTTAACTTTATCACTTGAAACATTTTCATCGTACAAACTCGATCGAAATCTGGCTGTTGCCAGATTCAACAGCTCTGGATTACTTTTTATGGAGTGCAGAGAAAAATATAACGTATCAGCAGTCACCTACAACACAGCAGAATATGAAAGGATGAATTATTACAGTGTGTGCACGACGGTCATCTTCTGAAATAATGCGACGTGTTACCTGTTCGATGACTGAGCGATAATTAAAATGTGTTGAATTCAACGGCGAGCATTTAGTACATCTTTGAATTTCGAAACGTAAGTAAAAATGTCCGTGACTCTTATGATATGTTGATAAACAAGTGAAACGTTCTGAAAAGTACAAAATGAAACAGAACGTTAGTTCGCAGTGGCACCAAAAATTACGATGTAATTTTGGAAAATGTTGCTTGTATGACGTTTAGTGACTTTGAAGTACTTATTGTTGCAGGTCCTAAGATTAAAATATAGCATTCCATTTAAAACAACAAAGTTGACTTTTGTATCTCATTAATCCCTCTCAACAGAATAAAACTATTGTTACTATACGTCGGACCGTACAAGACTGTGCAACTTTTGTAGGAAACATTTTTATGAAATTTTAAATATAGCAGAAATATTTCAAGTGATAAAGTTAGATGATATACCCTGTACGTATATGTATACACACACATGCACACATATGATGATCTGTTTTATTATTTTGGATCTAGTTTAAAATCTTGAAATGCTTTCAGGGAACTGTCGCGGTGCCGGATAAGAGGGTTCGGCTGCGTCGGTTAATGAAGGAATTAAGCGAGATCCAAAGGACACAGCATCGACTCGAGTCGACCTTCACTGCGGAGCTGGTGAATGACAATTTATTCGAGTGGCATGTGAGACTGCACAAGATAGATCCGGAGAGCGAGCTGGCCGCCGACATGAGAGAGCTTAATATACCTTATATACTTCTCCACGTGGTGTTCCCGGAGAACTTTCCTTTCGCACCTCCTTTTATGCGCGTTATTTCGCCAAGGATTGAGAAAGGATTTGTGATGGAAGGCGGTGCAATTTGTATGGAGCTTCTTACGCCGAGGGGATGGGCCAGCGCGTATACCATTGAAGCAGTCATCACACAGTTTGCAGCTAGCATCGTTAAGGGCCAGGTGAAATCTTAATTTATTTTCAATTTACAAATGGGTCGCTAATATTATTTCTGAATATTGACAACTTAAAAAATTTATTATATTTAATTGATTTTTTTCCCATGAAAATTCTATAGAATTTTTCAAAGCTTTCATAGTATAAATGTTTATTTTAAATTGTTCAAATAAATAAAATTTTCAGGAAATTTGATATAACTTTCTTCCTTTAAACTTTCTACGTACATGCGTGTTGTTACGTATGGAATCTATGTATATTTATACATACAGGTACACACCCATAGATATATCTTTATATTTATATGTAGATGCATAGGTACTTATTATCGTGGTCTAATGAAAGTGCAGAATCTAGAAAATGCACCCTAAGTAGAAAATTCGATATTTAAAGTGTTTTCGTGCAAACATAAAAGAGAGTTGCAGCTTTGCTTCAATTTTACAACTATTTGCAATATTATAAATAACTCTGTGCTTATGTCTAGTCAAAGATTATTCTATGAATTATACATATATACAGGGTGGGACAATAATTGTGATCATTTTGAATATTACCCTTACTGTAATAAGTCTTTGCTTCATATCTTGTAATTAGTTATTGAACATAGTTATACGTAGGTATTTGTAACACGAAGCACATTATCTTCCGGAATTGATGGATAGGGCCAGTATCGTGGCCAGTTCTTTCACTCGACTTTACACCACTTGATATCTTTCTGTGGGGAACATTAAAAAGTACTGTATACAGAAAAAGTCAACAACGCCACAAGATATGAGAAAAGACTTATTGCAACATGTGCCAGAATCAATCCGGAAATGATAACAAGTGCACGGGCTTCGGTAATCCGACGATTCCAATGTTATATCGATGCAAACGGGTACCACTTCGAACATCTATTATAACGTAAGATTTGTTGTTTACTCTTTCATTTATTGTCGAATTTCCTCGTATTAGGGGTTGTTGTAATCGCCTGAACATCCTCTGCTCTACCAGGGATGAGAAAGTACGGCAAGAAATATAAAAAAATCTTACTTTGCGACTTTTGTAAACAAAATTTCTTCATATCACTAAAAAGAACGGAGACATTCAGGATGATCAAAGTTATTGATCCACCCTGTATATTATTTCTTCGTTGTAATAGAATCTTTTTCTACTTATGAGGAAGAAACTTGTACTATACTGCCTTCCTTCTTTTTTTTTTGTATTGTTGTTGCATCTGTAAGGGGTAAAATGAATGCAAATTTATTTTCTAAAGGCATTTCATTTGAATTCTTCAGGGTCGTGTGGCGAGGAAACCAAAAACGAATAAAGAATTCAACAGACGTTCCGCAGAAGAATCGTTCAGGAGTTTAGTAAAAACTCACGAGAAATATGGTTGGGTGACGCCACCGCTCGCGGAGGGTTGATCCTCCAGATCGCTCAAATAAATAAAAGACTACGTTGTTATTTCAGATGCCGTGCTGTAAGCTGGTTTTAAGTGTCACTACGTTCGGTGTCATTACATTTCTCATGCCAGCAACAATGTAATTGTATTATAATCGCATTAAATAATGCTTTTATAAAAGAAAGAGTAGAATGTACAGTACTTGAGAAAGAAACGAGAGACGTGGTCTTCAACAAGGACTTTTAGAATTTGTTGATTACCAATTGAAGTTAAAACGATAGCGATCCAGTTTGAGCGTTAGTAGTTTGTTTACTAATTTCATAAAGGATGGATGATTGTAAAATTGTCACGACACTGGTATGAACAATAAACATACCGTACAGATGAAGAACCTTTTGTAATTCTTATACGGTTAACCAAAAGTATTTATAAATATTTTTGTTATTCTGTTACGCAAAGATGTCTTTCTGATTCCTCTATTTTCTTTTATTCTATTCAGATATAATGGTAAGAATTAGCAATGTAAGAAAAATTAAATTTTCATCAAGATAATTGAATAATTTATGTTACAAAGTGACCAGAACATCGTGGGGTGTAACGATAAAGTTAGTTAACTTTGATGAGTGCGAAAGGAATGAAATTTAATATGGTGATGTTATAGTTACAATAATTGTAGTTTTTTCAAATTGGGGAGGGAAAACATAGTCTTTTTGTCCGGTATTTAATTCTTTATTTGAAGTTCTAGTTTCTTGAAGACGTGATACCACAGAAACACGCATCAATTTTTATATTGCAATGATTGACATTTATAAAAAGAATTTTATTTCTTATCATGCAGCCAATTTTTAATATAGTACAACATAGTGTAATAATTTCCACTATTCTGAAATTAACGTTATTTTATGATGTATTACGTGGATATCTAAAACATTCTGTACCAATTATAATTCAATATAAATATACAATAATTATAATTCAATACAAATATTGCCATATTTACTTCACTTAACAACTAGGTAAAATATCATTTACAATTTGCAATTTCAAGTATTATTAATTATTAGCATTACTTATCCAACATTACAGGTAGAATGTAATTGAATAAAAAATTTCTTATCTTATAATACATCGCTGTATATAACTGTTTGCCTATCATAATATTCGATGCTCACATTCTTCTCATCTTTATATGATTTTCATTAACATGATATACATGGCTTTCATTCGGTATACTTTATTTGCCACATTTTCATCATTCTTACTTAAGTTAGGTTTTCAATACATCTCAATGTACGCAAATGCATTTATTCAATCGTTTTGTACTTTATACAAAATTTTATCCTTTACTCGTGGTATACAAAATTTATTTACCACCATCAACCGAATGATAGTTATATCATTTGTATAATTGCGTTACAAATATAGCATATTCAGCTAGGTTTAATTTAGTAATGATAGCTGAATTTATTTTAATTTAAAGACAATTGTATTGTGAAAATTTAATTAAAGCGTTAATTATTTGAAAACAATAATAAAAATATGATTTCTTAAAAATAAATATTTAAAAGTAATTACATATCCTTTCATGTATTCAGAACATTGCATTATCAAGTAAATTAATGATGAGCTGTTTAAAAGCATTAAATTCTATTAAAAAGAATATTTATATATCAAACAGTATGTTCTGAATACGAATTTAGTTGTTTTAGGAAATTTTTATTATAAAATTCTTTTCGTTTGCACGGCATACAAGGCACATGATCAGTCGTTATTTTCTTGAACACATTTATCATCGTTGCAGTTAATTGGTTTAAATGTATGCAAACGTTAAACGGTATTTCAAAACAATTACAACAAATTATTCTGTTTTCTTCGTCCGTCTTAGAAAATACTTATTTTCTAAATTAAATTTATGTACCGCGGTTAAAATTGGTAACGCCGCTAGAAAAGTATAACAATGATACGTTATTAATCTTGTAATCTACAAATATTCATTGCAGC